TATAAAAACTCTACGAACTTATGAAACGACCTAATATATAAGATTTCAACATTAAATGTTTCGTACCAGAACTGCCGCAACACGACATTGTGCTACAACAACGCTTTTGATGCTCGAATATCTGGAATCTACAGCATATCAGTCTTCAATGCTTCTACTTGGAAACCCTCTCCTCACATTTACTTCCGTCCCCGCATAAGCAGTGATAGATTATTGTTATATGAGTTTGGGCCGTAGTGTTCTGAGGCTCTCTACCAGCTCGGACGAAGTTTCGATCCCGCCCCTAGGCCACATGCCCTCTGCTTTTCATTGTAAACTGGTGCCAGAGTAATCTAAGAGGATAAAAGCATTAACTTGGTAACAGGCTGGCTCCTGCATTTCACAGTACTGTCTGCCCTCAATCAATAGCCTCTTCGACTGTGAAAGTTTGCGCTTAAAGCATGCCTGCAGCGGGTGTTAAAGACTCTACTTTTGTCTTTCATCCTGATATGAATTTGCATTTGAACATTACCTTAATAGCACTTTCACCAATCCCTCAAAATCGGTCTACTAATTGACCTTGAAAAAAATTTGAGTGCATAGAATTTTCTGAATCGTAAGATTTTTTGTAGGTTTCACATTCGGATAATTAGAAACTTTGAAGATAATTATTTTAGACTATAGATCGAATGCATCCACTTGGAAAAGGAGCTTTTGGAGCCGTATATGCTGGACACTTTAAGGTAAGTCTCTAAGAGTTTGTGCATCTTAGCATAGTGAACGAGCTAAGATAGATCTATTTTTGAGTACATGAGTTGTCAGTGTCTGCTGTCTTGTCTGCTCCCAGTGCAATAGAACAGAATTTACAAACATAAAAGCTTTTAGTCTATAAAACTCATTGAAAGTATGAGAAATCTATGAGATAAGCACAAACTTGCCCAAAAACCAATATAATAATAAGTGGTATCCACGCTGTACGGAGCAATTACAGAGTGACGAATTTAGCTTGTACAATTTCGCTCTTTTCACGAAAAACTACTAAATAAGTGAAGATTCGAGAGACGTTTCGAAAATCTTTGCAAAGTAATTTATTTGTGATTGATCAAAATGTATTGCCTTGCAAATTTCAGCTACTAAATGCGCAAGACTTCCAAATAAACCAATTGAATTTTTTTCTCCAAATCAGTGCTTGCAGACTCAGGATGGTGAAAAAGTACCCGTGGCTGTTAAAAGTCTTCGCCTAGTTTGCACAGACAAAGACCAGAGACTCCCTTGGATTACCGAGACAGAAATGGCGCAGGTATGTTCAAAACGTACCATCCAAACGTCGGGTGCGCGGACCAACTGTGGAAGTGTAGAAATTCATCTACACATTATGAGTTTCCAAAATATATCACTGCCATGGTAAATTTTTTTCAGCAACTCAACCATCCCAATATCGTGCGCTTTTATGGATTTTGCATGGAACCTACAGACAGTAATATCCTTCTCATTTTTGAGAAACTTGACAAAGGCGCATTGGATACGTTTTGCAGGGTAAGCTTTCTTGCTTTGAGGCAGAAATGATTCATGAATTTAGAAGTTGAACTATCGAATGAGCGTAAATGAAACGGTTGATTGGCTTTGTCAAATAGCCCGCGGTATGGCACATTTGCACGCTCAAGAACCTTCAATAGTCCATGGAGATTTGGCCGCGCGTAATGTTTTGGTAACTACTCATCCAGTGGATAAAGCTAGGTTAGAACAGAGCACTTTTCGTTAAATGCACAATTCGTATTTGTAGGTTCATTATGAAACTCACGGATCTAGGAATATCAAAGAGGACACGTTCGGAAACGTTTGCCACATACGACGATCCAAACAAAATCCCGTGAGTCACTTCACGTTACGTGTATCACTAACCCTACAAACAATAGAACATTCAGCTTTGTTCTTCTTGTCTATTTCCCAGCTTCATTGACAGAGGCACCGGGAAGCAAGAGTATTGTAGTCTAATCCATGCTGCGTACTGATATGCCATTCAATCTGCATTCTAAGCACCATCCTACTGTTCCGTCGCAATCTCTGATTTGCTCTAACAAGGGAAGAATACTGGATGAGTGTGGCCTTTTGCAGTGAGATGTACACCAGTAGATGGCCTTGAAACGCTCATTCTAAATCTATGTTCATTATCTACTATGCTACCCTTTGAACGAAATTATAGCCTTTTTTTCAAAATAATTTCACGAGATCTAGGCAGTCAGAATCGTCAGTACCCGCACTGTTTAGAATTTGATGAATCGGAGACAGTTTCCATGAGCTTAACGCGAAGCTTCATTTATATGGAGTTTATCTTGTAGTGCGTAAGTGAACATACTAATCATATAGGAGACCTGCCATCAATGCAAATTTTAGTGGCAAGAAATGTTCATATTATAACTTCTTTCGGAAAAGCGCACAGCAGATACCTAATGCAAGCTTAGAATCAGAATCAGCACTTCGGGATGCATTTAATGGTATGCGTTTCATTCCTAAAGGTTACGGTCACCAAGTATCCTCCCCTTGTAAGTAGTAAGCACTTGGCAATGGAAAACGCTCGACGAACGCTCAAGTGTCACTATAAGTTAAAGAATATTACAGACATTACTGAAAACGTCTCCAATATAAGCAGTGATTTATGCAAGACTAGTGCTCTATAGGATGCAATGAAGTAAAACATATGCGCTCTCGAAAACTCCTTAACCTACATCAACTTTCAGAATTGATATCGAGCATTGCACAAAAAAACTTTGTTCCACTATAAGCTAATTTGTCCTACCACGGGTGATTTCGAAATTCTAGCGTATCCCAGATTTGGATACATGTTTTCATTTCAAATCATGCACTGACTTCCGAATTGGGAAAGCCAACATATAAACTCACTTTTGTATGTATAGTAGTGGCTATTCTGATGGCAATCATAGGCACTGGTAGGTTACACCAGCCAAGGATCTGAGCCAGTGGCATTGCCATGAGCAAACAATAAAACTGAGCACGTAATGGAGAATACCTGCAGTCCCGAAAACTTCAAACATACTTTTACGCTATAAAAGCAATGAATTTAGGC